TCAATAGTATATTGAAGTTTTAAGTCCAGAAGTCTGCTTCTATCTTGTTCTATTTGTTTTTGTTTGATTTTCTGATGATACTGTATAAATGTTACATTTTTAAAATTTAAATTTCTAAAATTTAATTTTCTATTTGTGTTTTATTCATGTATAGATATATAATTTGATTTTTACATATTTTACCCAGTGGCCTTAATAAATTAGCCTAATTTGAATAGTTATTTTTAGATTATTTTGGAGTACATACATACACATTTGTGTCATCTGTAAATAATCACAGTTTTATTTTCTTCCATCTGCTCTTTATGCTTCTTTTATGTTCATTCTCTTGCTCCAGTACACTGGCTAGGACATCTGGTTTAGTGCTGAAAAGAAGGATCTGGTTATAAAGCTCCCTTTGTCATTCTACTGCTTTTGTCTTTTTATAGGATGATGGGAAGCTATGTGAGAAAACCATTCATGGTTTTTCAGGGCCTGTTGTATTAAGACTCAAGCTGTCTGCACTCACATCAAACTGAATCTGTATAATATCAAGAGTCAGTTTTGGGATTTTCTTTTGTTCTATATGTCTCCTTGTATGCCAGGAACACACTATTTTTATTTACTGTAATTTTGTTTTGTTGTTGTTGTTGTTTTACTATAACTTTGTGGTAAGTTTTAAAACTGGGAGGTGTGAGTTTTTTAGAATTGCTGTTCTATTCAGTATTGTTTTTGTCTATTCATAGTACCTTGAAATTCTATGTGAAGTTCAAGATAGGTTTTTCTATATCTACAAAAAAAAGTCATTGGGATTTTAATAGGATCACACTGAGTCTGAAGATTACTTTAAGTGATATTAATATCTTCACAGTGTGGTCTTCCCATCCATGAACATGGGATATTTCCATTTATTTATGTTTTCTTTCAGCAATGCTTTGTAATGTTCATTGTATAAGTCTTTATCTCCTAGGCTATGTTTATTCCTAAGTGTTCAGGTATGCAGTTGTGTTTTCAGTAGCCTTTTCTGGTTGCCTATTGTTAGCATATACAAATACATGTGAATTGTGTGTACTGGCCTTATATCTTCTTGTTGCTTAGCTTCTAAGAAGTTGGACATTTTCTATTACATTTTTCCAATTTATTGACTTCTACTTTAATCTCACTGTGATCAGAAAATATATACTGAATGATTTCAACCCGCTCAAACTTGTTGAGCCTTGGTACATAATGCAAATGTACTTAAAAAGGGCTCATGTTCTGTTCTAGTTGGGATTAATGTTCTATGTATATCAGGTCAGGTTTCTTACTGTTTTCTTAAGATAATCTTATGATTATTGACTTTTGTTTACTTATTCCTTCAACTATTGAGAGAAATGAGTTACTTTTTTTTACTATCATTATAGATTTTTTATTTCTTCCTTTAGGTGTATTAATTTTTGCTTTGTATACTTTTAAGCTGTGTTATTTCACAAGTACAGATTTAAAGTTGAGCTATATCCCTGGTTGATTAAGCCCTTTATCAGTATGAAACATCCTTTATTACTTCTAGTAATATCTTTTGTTTTAAAGTTTACTGTCTGCTTTCTTTTGAATTTGTGGTCTGTCATCTTCTTTCACTTTTTCCTCTTTCTACATCTTTAAGGTATGTGTCTTGTAAGAAACAGAGTTGCATTGCTGTTTTAAATTTATTCTGGAAATCTCAGTCTGTCTTAGGCACTTTCCTGGTCACCAGGACAAAATACCCAACACTCACAGTTCAGAGGAGAGGTTTACTTTGGCTTATGTTTCCGTGGCCTCAGTCCCTGCATGGTTGGCTGGCTCCAGGGCAAGACGGCATCCCGGGAGGTGGCAGAGGAATAGCTACTGAAGTCATAGCATCAGGGAGCAGAGAGAGTGAAGCGGGGAGCTGAGGGTAGAGATGCACCCTTCCAGGTCACATCCCCAGCCACTGCCTCTTCTGACCAGACCCCAAGTCAGCTGTAAGCCCCCATCGTCCAGTCACCCTGTAAAAGGTGTGCGAGGCTCTTAGGGGACGCCTAGCTATAAACCATAATGCAGTGTTACATTTAAAGTACTGTAGCTTCCCATGTCCTATGTTACTTTTTTCTATTTCCTCTTATATCTTTCTTTTTCTCTCCTTTCCTGCCTTTCATTGTTGTTAAGTATTTTTAATTATTCCAGTAATATTTTATTTTCTCCTTCATTGTAAATTTGTTTAATATTTTAAAGTCATTACTATACATTGTTTTAACATGTGTAGACTGTAATATGCCATTATGCATCCATGCCCTAATACTATATAGTGTAAATTCTTGCTTTTAATATTGATGATAGAATTTAGGATACCTTAACTATAGTTTCTTCAGCTTCATATCTTTTATATTATTTTTGTCAGGCATCTTAAATTATAAAATATTTTGAATTCAACAAAACATTACTATATACTGTACTTTTTACTTTCCGATAGGAGTTTCTGAAGTGGCATTGAACAGTCTTTTTCTTTGTAGCTTATGACATTAATCGTTCGGAGGTCAACAGCCACAGCAAAAACAGATATTGTGTACTTTGGGTCAGTGGTAGATTAAAATGAAAAAAACATCTGCCTTCAAAAAGTTTTAAGTTGAGAGAGGTAGACAATTACATTAGCAATGGCAAAGCAATCTAAGTGCTGTGTTGTAATAATATAGCAAATTATGCTTTACAGAGTGTTACGAGATTGCTCACTAGGAGAACCTACTGTAGACAGCTAGCATAGAAGGCTTCCAGTGATATCCGAGTTGAGAACCTAAGGATTACTCAAAGCAAACAGGGGAAAGAGGATACTCAAGTAGAAGGAAGCGTGTCCTCAAAGGTCCAGATGTTCACATCCCTTCTCATATATGTATTCCTCAAAGTAATGAAGCACTGGGGTTCTAAGGTATCTCATGCATGAAGAACAGTAGGAGCCAGGTACTATCTTGAGAAAACCAAGAAAAAATGACTCAAGTAATTTTCTGTAGGGTTTAATTCTCTCATAAAACCCCAAGTGAGAAAAGTAGTAGGCATTCAATAGATGTTTGCTGAATGCATCCCTGAATCAGTGGTTTTCAGAAGTTATTCTCCCAGAGTTGTAGGAACTTGCTCAGCTGTGTTCTAGTACTGGAATAGAGTTGGTAACAAGTGGTTATTCAGATTAGAACAGAGCTCGCATGGTGTCAAGTTCCCTTCCCCTGTAAACAGAGGGCTCCTTTGTATGTCAGGTTTTCAGGAAAAGATTCTGTCTGAAGAAAGAGAGTCTTTGCTTTAAATGTTTTGAATTACTGATTTAGGCTAGTAAACCAGACTTCCAGTAAGAAATATTTGATTACCTTGCTTAATGAAACAGGTTTTATGAAATAATCCTTGCCCTCAGTATGTACAGTGTTCTGATATTTTTCCTATTTTTTTAAATTGATAAGTAAAAATTCTATATATTGTATACAACATGATGCTTTGATATAAATGCATTGTGGAATGATTATTTTTAAACATAGGCATTGCCTCACTTTTCTTTGTGGTGAGAGCCCTTAAGATCTATGTGCAATTGTACAATACTGTATATTATTATTAAGTGTAGTCAGTATTATTTACAATAGATCTCTTGAATTTATTCTTCCTTCTAACTGAAATTTTGTGTTCTTTGATCAACAGCTCTCCAATTTTCCCACACCCCATTTGTTCCATTTCTAAAGTAAGAGTCATAACCCATTAAATTAGTTTCAGAACCTTCATTTGAAAAACGTTAGTCCTGGGGTAGTAGGTTTCAGTCTCAGCAAAAATTGTGCAGTCTTCTATTCTATCTGTGTTATCATGTTTTCATGTCTTCCCACTGAAAAATAAAGATGATCTTACTTTTCAGGGTTGCCGTTAATGCATTGAAAGGAATTAACACAGTGCCTAATACATAGTAAACATTAAATGTTCTGTGCTTTGGGGAACATATCTGTAATAGTCTATTCAAGATAAAACATAAAAAATTAAGTGTACCCGAAAGTTCTGTAAGATTTTTCTCATCATTACAGTGTTAAGAATGAAAAAATATAGAAACAATTTCACCTCCTATAAATTGAAATCATTTTGACAGTTAATTTTAAAAAGAGAATGTAGCTATCCATTCAATTTTTATTTAAAATGGCATAAGCAATTAGAAGTGACATGCTGTCTCAGTGATAAGTCAACATCCATGTTTATAGCAGCACAATTAGCAGCACAATGTCTATAGCGAAATCTTGGAAGTAGCCTATATGTCATCAGTAGATGAATAGATAAAGAATATGTGGTACTTATACATGTTAGAGTACTGTTCTGCCAGGAAGAAGGATAATCTTGAATCATTTGTAGGAAAATAGGTGCAACTTGAGACCATAATGTTAAGTAAATAAATCAGGCACACAAATTTAAACATCACATGATTGCTCTTACATGAAAAGCCCAAATTAAAGAGCAAAATAAAGCTAGATAGTACGGTAAATAGGAAGTACAGTAGAGAGATCTTTCTCAAATGGGAAGGTGATCAAGAGATGGATAGAGAGGGGACAGAGGGGAAGGAAGGGTATGAAAAAAGGAGTGAAGATGTGTTACGCACATGCACCAGCTCCACAAAGGAATGCAAGCATTACGTACTGCAAACATGTGCTAATAAAAAATAAAAAACTAAATTTTAAAATATTAAAAATAATTAGGACTGAGAATAGAAAAAAAGAATTGAATTAGAAAATGAGTTTAGACCTAAAGACTTAAGTAATTTAACTCGTGTATTAGAGGGAATCAAGTGGTCAGCCTTACAGAGCCCTGGACACTTCACAGACTCCTTGGGACTGAGGGTGTAGCTCAGTGTGGCCAAGTGTACGTAGCACTTGGCTAGCACATGCACAGCCCTGTGTTATAACCCCAACACCAAAGAAAACAGGAACACACCCTAAGGTCACTTTCAAGAAAACTACCAACATAAATATAATAAAAAATGAAACCAGGTAACTTTTGACTGCTTTCCTTTTCTGTAGGTGTGTGGAGGTAGTGAAAGCTTCTCAGTATGTGGAGCTGGCCAATGATCTGGAAATAAACAAAGCAATCACATACTTGAGACAAAAAGACTTTAACCAAGTAAGTTTGAAAACCAGTTCCTAATGGCTTTCCATATGTTAATTAGTCAAAGCAGTGCCCATAGTGAACTGTCTTTCTAGAATGATGTTACCTGTGTTACTCTAAAGTTGAGTAATAATTTGTATTTCTGTCAAGATTTCCATTAATATTGTTTTAATTTAGCATTAACCTGTTTGTCTGTTTATTGAAATGTAAATGTTTACTTTGTGTGGTCCTTAAACTACCATGCCACATTCCAGTCCAGGGCTGAGCTTTTCCTTCGAGGTTTCCAGCTGCTCTCTGTTTTTTTCATTGGCAGTGAAGTGAAGTAAACTGGCCTGTATTATTTTGCTAAAGTAATCTTTGGAATAAAAAGTAAAACAATTTTGCATGGGTGTGATGGTACATGGTTGTAATCCCAGCACTTCGGAGGCTAAGGCAGAAAGATCAGCAAGACTTCAAGGATGTTTTGCCCCAGATAGCTCACTTGAGATGTTACTAAGAATTGCCTCCTCAGTATTCTATAGCCATGATGAGGAGGAGGCCAAGGAGAGAAAACAAAGAGACCGAGAAAAAGCAGCTGCTTTTGCTGCACCACTAAGAGAAACAGACCCCAAGTCTGATTCCCGGGGCCCCAAGAAGAACTCAACAACTACATTCATCTGCTACCACTGTTAAAAGCCAGGCCACCTCAAGAGGAACTGCCCTAAGAGGCCCCATGGGCCATGCCCTGGATGCAAAAGAGACCACTGGAGATTGGTCTGCCCTCTGAAGCAGAGGCCCCAGAGCTCAGACCCATCCTACCAGTTAGTCCAGCAGGAATGAGAGGACCCAGGGCATACCCTGCCTTCTCCCTCTGGCCAGACTGTTATCTCCATGGAGGAGCCCTGGGTAATCATGACTATGGAGGAACAACGAAACAGCCTGTTGCTAGACACAAGTGCAAGTCTCTCGGTCCTTCTTTTCAATCCTGGCCTTCCTTCCAGCCGTCACACCTCAGTGAAAGGAGTCACTGGTGAGGAGGTAATACGCTATTTTTCACAACCCTTAGGCTGTCACTACTTGTTAGATCTTTCTTGCATATATCAGTCTTCCTGAGAAACCACTTTGAAGATACCACCATGTATTATAGCGGCCACTGATATTTTCCTACTAATCTGTCCATAACTGTGTAATGTTTGTTTTGTTCCTGTGCTCTTCCATAACTGGATGTGTGTTTATTACTATGTGTTTCCTACAACAACCATTGAGAATAGTCAATGAATATTCAATTGGTCACCCATGTATAGCTCTATTTATTTTCTTTAGAAACCACTTTGAAGATACCAAAGTACAACAACCATTGATAATAACCTAGCACTTTTGTCTGTAACTCACTATTATTTGTTTGTTTTCCTGAGAAACTATCTTGTAGATGACAATATGTAAAACAACAACCATTGATAATTTCCTATCACTTTGTCTGTAATTTGGTAAGCCCCCCATTACTATGTTATCCTTCTTTTACTCTTTAAAATAATAAAAAAATAAAAAAAAAGACTTCAAGGACAGCCTGAACTACATAGTAGCAAGATGCTCTCATAAAAAATTTTGAGTTAGACTGTTATAAATGATGAAATGGAAAAACCCACGCTGGCCAGTTTCTGTTATCGCCAGTGAAGGGAACCACCCAGAAACAGGCTTCCTGTGAGCAAAACGCTGGATTTATCCTGTCTGGGCGCAGACTGGCTAAGATTGCTTGGTTGCAGCAGCTGGCTGGAGAAGTTAACGTTTTATAGGGTTTGAGAATGGTTTTAATCCCAAAGAGTCTGGGTGGGATGTTTAGGGCCAAAGTTCCCAGCGCAGGTGTGGAGATAATGCTGGGCTTCCAGCCCCAGCAGACTGTATGTCCTGTCCCAAATTCTTGTTATGGCCATCTGTTCTGTTCAGTGTCACCAGTGGCCTCGTAGGGTGAAAGGCTGAAGACAGAAGATAAGACCCTTCCAGAAGGGATTACCCTGTCCCAGGTTCCTGCCCCCCCCATGTTATCACGGTGCACCAGGAACTAGACACGGGCCTTATGTGAGCAAAAGGGTGGATTTATTTTCTCTGGGTGAGACAGGCTAAGATGGTGCGTGGTTTCAGCAGCTGGCCGGAGGAGAAGTTCGTTTTTATAGGATTTGGGAATGGGGTTTTAGTTCCAAGAAATGTGGGTGCAGTGTTTGGGGTCAAAGTTCCCAAGCCGGTCAGTGCAGGTGTGTAGATAATGCTGGACGTCGCAGCACCTGGGAGATTGTGTGCCTGTCCTACTTCCCTTTATGGCCATTTGTTCTCTTTGCCGAGGACAGCATGGGCCTTAGTAGTTTCCTGTTGCTTGTGGAGGGCAGCGTGTTTGCTGAGAACGCCTCTCTCAGGTCAGGCATGACAGTTTTCTGTTTGACATTTTATTTCCAAATGGTCTTTCTAAAAAGGGTTAGCAATGCAGTGCCATAGTATGTTTTCAGACTGTGTCTGTCCAGCGACAGCCTCTGGCTTTTTTCATTTGCACAGATCAAATCCTGTAACGCAGGTCCGTGTCTGCTGCTCTCCTGTCTGCTTTTGTCCCATTTGCATGTTTGACTTTCTAATAACAATTAGTTTGCCATTGTTTTTAAATGTCATTTGTGGTTTCTCTTCAATATTACTGCTTTTACTTGTGTTTCTATTATTTATTTATTATAAGTATGATGGGGGACATATAATGTGATCCTAGTTTGAAAGGAACACTATTAGATTAAAAAGAATTGGATCAATATATCTCATTATGATCATTTAATGATGACTACCTTATTTACTGTTCAGAGTAAAAAAGAATTTATGTCTTCTATAAGGTTGGGCTTTTGGAATTAGTCCTTAATTACTTCTTTTTTTTTTAAGAAAAGATGCTGGAACTGCAGAATATAGTTCTTTGGGATTTGTAGCCACTTTTTCAATAGAGAAAAAAGACTCCACTAAAAAGCCAGCAGTGAATGAAATGGAGTAGCTGGTTTGGAGCCATTGAGAATGACTTTCTCAGCACCAGCTTAGAAAGAAAACTGAAATAGACAGTGGGTGGGGGATGGGGAGACCAGCAATGTTCATTTTCATTGTCTTGCCATCTACAGTTATTTTAACCAAATTTAATTTTGACATTTAGTGTACTTTTTATTAGTATGTTTTATAAATTAATTTTTATTTTACTTTTAAAAACAAATATTGGATAGGTATTTATGAACATATAAAGAACAGTTTTGAAAGCAGTCTTTTTTTTTTTTTCCAGTACTGGGACTCGAACTCACAACCTCACACTTGCCAGGCAGGTGCTGTGCCACTGAGCTAAATCCCCAGCCCTGAAAGCAGTCTTTTCAAAATAGAAATTCAACCAAAAAATACCTAAGAGTGTTGTTTTTATTAGAATAATTTTTTTTATTTTTTTCGAGAGAGGGTCTCTCTATGTAATTCAGGCTGGCCTCAAAGTCACAACGATCCTCCTGCCCCAGCCTCCCAAGTGCTGGGATTGCAGGTGTGCACCACCATGCCTGGCATTATTAAAATAATTTTATAGCCTCTTAGAATAGTAGCTTAGAAAGAAAATAGCAAATATATTTTTACTGTTAAATGTTTCTAAATGAATGTTTTAAATTCTAAATACTTTTGCTAATTCTCCTAAGAAATACATCTTGATTGCATTACTTTTTTATTATATGCATTCATAGTAACCATTTGGGAGAAAATAGTTTTGTTTTAAATGTAACCTTAAAGTATTGTTACTAATGAGCTACAAAGTAGGAACTATAAAAAAATTAAATTTTACACATTTCCTTGACTATAATGTGTTCTGGTTGTTTCTTGTGGTTTTTTGTTTGTTTGTTTTGGGTTTTTTTGTGGTACCAGGGATCGAACTCATGATCTTGCACTTGCCAGGCAGGCGGTTATTCCACTGAGCTATATCTCCAGCCCCCCTTGACTATAATGTGAACGGCTACCTCTAAAAGGAATGACGTACACTGCTGTGGTACCCTTTATAAAAATTATTGCTGCTTAGTTTTCTTTTTTTTTTTTTTTTTGTTTTTCTCCGGTACCGGGAACCGAACTCACGACTTTGCGCTTGCCAGGCAGGCGCTTTGCTGCTGAGCTAAATCCCCAGCCCCCTAGCTTTCTTTTTGTAGTATAGATGTCATCAGTTCTCAAGATCAGCTTTCTCTTCCTGTGTTCTTCACCTTAGGGTTTAACACATATGTCAGTTGTACCTATTCAAATGTCTTATATTTTAAACACATCCATTTATTGTGACAAAATCTAAAAATGAAGATGAAAACATCCCAATTCTTATTCAGAGTTAAATACAGCTTATATAATTTAGACATTCAGAAAAGCAGTGGCTTCCACACCAATAGCTGTGGAAGTTATGTAAAGAACCCATGAGATGGTTTTTACAGAATGATATAGTAACAACAATAATTTTTTATATAGGTTTTAGGAACTTCTTGGCAGTTTTGTAAAATTGCTCCAAGAAAATAAGTGAGAAATAAAGTCTGAGAAGTAACTTCCAGTGTTTCTCTTCTGGAGTTTACTTGGTGGAATTATAAACTACTGGTCTAGAATTTGCTAACAGTTTTCTTTCAAATCACGGAAAACCCCTTAAAAAGTTTACTCATGTTGTCACTGGTGGTCAGTTTTCCCTTTTCTGAGACAAAATGGCTGATATACACAGATTAAAGGAGAAAACAGTTTATTTGACCCAGGGGTTCAGTCCGTGGTTAGCTGGCTCCACGGCAGAAACATCACAGCAGAAGGGCACGGGGAGCAAAACACTCACCTCATGGCCCCTGGGAAGCAGAGCACAGCGGAGGTGCACCACAGTGCTAAGTTGCCCTGGCTGGGCTCAAACTTGTAATCTGCCTGCCTCAGCCTCCCAGCATGCTGGGCTTATAGATGTGCACCACCAAGCCCAACTTGGGCTGTATTTGTTCTGCACATTTTCTGGGATCTTGACCTTTGAGCCCTGGTTGCCTCAGGAGCTCTCTGGGGCCTTCAAGACATATTTTTAGTGTTTCATGTAACTTCTCTGGGTGCTCTCTGTGGAGGAATGGTCTTCTGTCAGTTAGTTCGTAGTAACCAGAAGCAGAAATCCCAGAATTTTTTTGTAGCACATGAGTGTGATCTTGCCTATAGGCGAAACCTTCCAGCCCTCAGCTCACCGTTTTGCATGACTGACACCACTGTGCTTTACAGGCCTCACAAGAGTCAGCGTTTGCTACCAACCTTCCCTCTGCTCCCCACTCCTCTCTCCACCTTCATCTTCATCTGCTGTGTAACCCCTCTGTGTGGTCCTAATTTCAGTTTCATTTTTAGTTCCAGAATTTCCATTTTATTTTTTATAGATTCTAACCCTTAAATGAAATTTACATCAGCCATATTCCCTTCCCCAGTCTCCCTTCACACACATTAAATCTTCCCCCAAACATAAGCTCCAGTACTAATGATAGGGCAAGAGGGACTCCCTTTTCTTTTTTTAACTCTGTATTAAGAAAAGTCACTTAAGGTCACTTAAGCTGTCGTTGACCCCACTCCTCACCCTCTCCCCTTGGTTGGTTATCAGCCCAGGAGAGCAGAGTCATAAAAGGGGAGCAGAACAAACAGGACAAGTTGGGAAGTGGGCTGCTTCTGGGAGATGTAAACCTTGTGACCTTTATGTGACATCCTTGTAAAATTCCCGAAAATGAGGTAATGATTAGTATGGAAACCTAAGGTGTCCTTCAACTCAAGGTGAGACCTGGGTTGGTGTAGACATCTCTGGCTCCTGGTTAGAGACTGTCCGTCAGCCAGCTCAATAAAACTTTGTTCATTCCTGCCTTAGGTTTTTTTGTGAGTGCCCATCTTGAACTCGCTACCGTATCACTATTATATCACAGTAGTAGTGACTTCATATCTTACTCTTCTAGGCTGTCGATACCTTAAAAATGTTTGAAAAGAAAGACAGCAGGGTGAAAAGTGCAGCTGCAACCAACCTCTCATTCCTGTACTATCTGGTAAGTTTCATTTCGTGTCTGTAAATTGGATGTGTGGAGTTTCACATGGCATGATTCCATTGGAGCATTGGTGCAGAGGCCTTGATCATGGCAGATGGTGAGCAGGGCTGGCTTTGCACACGTGAGTGAGAGGAGCAGGGGCTGGCTTTGCACACATGAGTGAGAGGACTGAAGGAGCAGGGAGGGAGAGGGGTTGTGCTAGCAAGCAGAGCAGCACGAATTCAGAAGTGTGTAGCTGTGAGATGAGCTATAGATATGGTTCAACTCTGCATTTGTGAGGATGACAGTGATAGGTTAAGTGATTTGAATAAGGTTACAGCATTTATTGAGTGCCTACTGGATACCATGCATTAGAAGTATGAAAGTCTTTCTTAATTTGAAGCAAAGGAGATGGGGTGGGTTGACTGAAGAAGGATTCAAAGCAGACAACAGTAAAGTAATGTTGGTAATAAGAACTTCATAAATTCAAAGGAGACAAAGAGCATTTTATTTATGGCTTTCAGGAAAGATTTCAGAGACTTTGGGACTAGATGGTCGGCGTTTGGAGGAGATGAATCAGCAGTAGCACAGAGGCAGGAAAGTTCTGGGAAGGGAGGTGTGCAGAGGAGTGATGGTGTTGTGTTAAGCTGCGTTCCCAGGCCATCCCCAAACTTCTTATTTGTGCCCCACTGGCAGTCACCGCTGGCACTCCTGGCAGGCACTGTATCCTCCCCTGAGGAAAGAGATCAAAACCACTGGCTGACAGAGGGCTCCCAAGGGCTGCACCTCCTGACAGGAGAATGTGCCGGTTACATCTCCGGAGGGTGCTGATTAGGGAAGAAGATTCTGTGTGTGTGTTTGAACATAGTTAAAATTGTTTTTAGTGATATATTCAAATAGAAATGTGTCCAGAAGGTACAAGAACAGATCTCAGAAGAAAATCAGGATGGAGATAAAATTTAGTGGTCATCTCTTAGCGGTGGTAGCTTTGATACTGGTTATCTCTAACCAGTTATCTCTAACCAGTTAGTTTGATACTGGTTATCTTTGATGAGGTTATCTCCCCACAGGTGAGAGCAGGGCACAGAACTGAGAACTGACTGTGGGGTGGGCATACACTGAGGAGGCAAGGGTGAAATTCAGGTCAAGAAGACGGGAAACGAGCCAAGGCAGTATTGATGTCTTTGACCTGAAGGAAGGCATTGTCGGAGGGAAGTGCACAGACTGACGCCATTGGGGCCAGCGAGCAGGAGCTGAGGACCTATGAGAAGAGTTTCTGGCCGAGCCCGTGAGGGGTGAGGTGGGGGAGCTGGGGAGGAGCAGGACCGAACAGAAGTTGGTGATGATAGAGGCACCACAAGGCCCAACCGGCTTTCTTGGGTGCCCTGAAGCTGGGTGTCCCCTGTTGGAGAGAGGGACTGGGATTTATCCCCTGACACCAGCCTTCCGCCCAGGAAGAGGGTGAGGTGCCTCTCTTCTGCCCAGGGTGATTTCCAGAGGTGTCCCAGCACGTGCGGCAGTTCTGAAGGACAGATCTTGGGGTGAAGCATGGTGTCCATCATGGCCATTAAATTTTTATTTTAGAAAGTCATTAATAAATTTTATGAAAATGGTTTAATTAGTGACCAGATCTTCACCACGTTTGATGAGTATGCTGAAGGTACAACTATATGCTGCACAGTAAGAATCTGTTTTCCATTTTAAGATAGTTTATGGGACTGGTTTTTTTGTGTGGTTAGAATGGAAAAAAGAATGAGATGAGGTAGAGCAGTGAGTCTGGCCTGAAGGTGTATATGCCATAGAATAGAAGGTAGATTCTTGCTGTCCAGCGTACAGTTGTGCCATTTCTGTTGCTATGTAGCAGCTCCCAGACTTAGCTTAAAATAACCATGTACTTGCTTACATTCAACCACATGAGCCGGACTCACCTGGAGTTTTCTTCTGCCGGTCTTGCGCGAGGCTTGGCTAAGGCTGGGTGGTCCAGCTGCCTCCCTGAGCACTTAGCAGAGCTGCTGTCTGGGCTCCACAGCAGAAGCACCCGACCTCTCTCATGGGCCTCCGTCCTCCAGGGCAGAACTCCCGTGCACAGCCACATCGCAGGCTCCTGTGCACTGAGCTGGTCCCTGCTTCCCTGGGGAGAGCAAGCCTGGCAGGGAACTGTGGGGTGACTCCTGGCAGGCGCGGGGCCTGGGACTGTGACATCTGCCGCTGCCCGCTCCTGAAGCCCAGTCACTCACATCCTGTCCTGAGCCACGTGTCCTGAGCCCTCCCGAGACTCAGACTTCAGTCACAGCATCAGGCTGTAGGCTGGGATCTGCGTCAGGTCTGGGCAGAGGCGCTTTCTCAGTGCAGCTGCTCTCCGCTGGGAAAGATCTGCGTCGTACGTTCTGTGCACAGGCATGGCATTTGGAGCTGTCGTTCAGTTTGCCACCTGAGAGAGCGGGATCGCTTTCAGACGGTCATCGCAAGGAGGAGGACCGGAGGCACACGACAGTCTCTAGTGTTTAGCAGTTCTAAAACCCAGTTTGGCCCTAGCCCAGGGAAGTGTGTATTTATTCCTTGAGTAGGACCCAGCTCTGCTTCCTGAGAGTGGTTCCTTAATCCATCGTTCTCTGTGGTCCAAGGCTCTGCTCTCTGACAACATCTTGCTTTTACAGAAGAAATAGCATATTTGTTGCTTTTAAACGTTCTCAGCCTGATTTCTGCCCGGAGAAATTTGGACCTCAGAGGCTTGCTATTGTTTTGAACTGTATCTGTCCCTCCAAGGGAGCAACACTTTGGTCAGTCCAACTCTCTTAAAAGGTCTGAGATTTTCTATAATCTCGGTGGAGTTTACGCCACAGCCGAAGAGCTTCATCCATCACTCTTTACGAGACAGACCCCTTTCACAAGGCCGCTGTGGAGCGGCCAGGCAGTCTCAGTCTTCGTTCTGGGAGAGGCCTGCGCAGGCACTGCCCTCAGCCTTTCTCAGGTGTTTACAGAAGTGTTGCAGCCACACCCTTCAGCTGATTCTGTCCTACTTTGAGAATCCATTGCTACCGAGACATGAAATAACTTTGTCTTCCAACCCAGCAAGTCCTGCTGCTTCTATATTTTGTCTAAATTCTCTTTATGGACTTCATAATTCTCTCTTTAGATTATCCCTCCTCTTCTCCTGTATACTCAGCGAAAATGAAATTTTTGGCATTTTCAGTGCCCTGCCTAGAAATCCCCGGCCACAAGTGCACGTTCACTAGGTACGCTGTCTTCCAAGTGCCAGTCTGGCCAGTTGTGTCACAACTACAAATACTACTTGCCATTCACCTAGCTTCTGATAACAGTTTCTTCCCACCTTTGTAGGCTCTGCTCAGGTTCACCCCCTCTGCTGCCCACCAGCTGCCCCTCCTAGCCTGTCTACATTCTGCCTGCTGCCTGGTCCAAAAAAAGTTGCCAGGCACGGTGGTGCACACTTGTGACCCCAGCATGCCGGAGACTGAGGCAGGAGGATCACTGTGAGTTCAAGGTCAGCCTGAGCTGCATAGTGAAACCCTGTCTCAAAAAGGTTACATGCTTTAGTTTTCAGGACAGTGGTGTCCACTTACAGGTCCCAGTCTTTGCATCAGTCAGAGGTCAGTCACTTTCTCATCACTGCGATAAAATACTCAGTGCCTGTATCTTAAAGGCGAGGGTTATCCCGCCTGTCAGTGGGTTCAGTCCCGGTCAGCGGGTCTCCAGGCAGAAGGGCAGGGTGAAAGGGCCTGGCAGAGGAAAGCTGTTCTTACTGCAGCAGCCAGGAGCAGAGAGGAAGGGGAGGAGCCAGGGACAGGAACACACCTTTCTAGGCCATGCCTCCAGTGACCCAGCTTTTCCAACGGGCCCCCAGCTCTGAACATGTGAGACTCTGAGGAAACATTGTAGATCTAAACCATAAGGTGAATGTTCATGGCAGCATTACTCATAACGACCAGAAGGCAGGTAGAAGCACCCCCGTGTGTATCCACAATAAAGGGATAAGCAAAATGTGGTAAAAGAAGTGTTACTCAGCCGTTAAAAAGAACAAACTGCTGAAACGTGCTGGAACTTTAAAAAACTGTGTTGAGTGAAAGAAGGTGTATATGTTATAATTCCATTTGTATCAAATGTCCAGGGTAGACATGAAAATGGAGAGCAGATTAGTGGTTGCCGGGGCTGGGAGAAGGAGAATGGGGAGAGACTTCTGGGGGTCCTGGAGTTTCTGTATGGGGCGAGGTACAGTATTCTGGATAGAGGGAAATTCGGGTGATAATTGCACAACTTTGTGAACATATGAAATGCCACTGAACTAGATGTTGTTAAAGATGTTGTCCATGATCTGTCAGCATCTTCATTTTATAAGTTCGATAAGGGACAGTCACTGTGGGCATTGTGGGAGAAGGGACATAGCAATTAAACCTTCCACGGTTGTGCGGAACCCGGGGTGAGGTGCAGAGGGGAGTTAGAGACCTTCGAGGAGTCACGTCAGTCACCGGGTGGCTCTGACATCCAGCTGCTGGCACAGGGCTGGGGGCATGCGCGAGGAGGTCTGTAGGCGCAGGGGTCCCTGTGCAGCTGCCTCGGGTTCACAGTGAAGCCCCCGTAGGGCAGGGACAGTGCAGCCGGGGGAGAACAGGAGTGAGGACAGGCTGGCATTCTGGGCCCCTCTGCGTCCGTCCTGCATGTGATGACAAGAAAACAGCCCTCCAGAAAAAGATGACCGCTTGCTGTAGGAGCTCTGCTTTCCAGATGCCACAGGAGCTCCTTTTGTGGCCAAGTCTGGACAAGAGCGGGGCAGGGAAGAAACTTCTAGGGAATGTAGCTCCTGGCCTGGCCACGCTGACCTGGCACAGCTGGCCACACCCCTGAAGAGCAGCGAGGTTTCTGCGGCACACACGTGTGCCCAGGTCCTGTGCGAGTGATCAGCAGTGGAGAGGGAGAGAACACGGTGATTGCTGGCCTTGCGGGGGCCTGGTGGTAACGTAGCCACGTGGGGGCAGGGGGCAGGGTGCCTTCCAGCTGTGGAGTGCCTCCCGCAGGGCGGGGAGTGTTCGCTGTTCGCGGCAAATGAGGACAGGGAACTTGGGCGTGGAGTAGGGAACCACCTACGTGTCAGTGGAGTTGTTATGCCAACCATGAGACTAGAGAAGCCAGTCATAAGGAACTTCGGAGGCTGGGCTTGGCAGTTGAAAACCTTTCGTATGGTCTATGAAAACCAAGATATTTAAAGTATTTGTTTTGTTCGGCATTATCTGTAGTCAGAGAGTCCGTTTATTATATGTGTGACCTCAGGACAATTTGAAAAACTGTTTAATGAAACCCATTTGCAATATTTCTTATTCTTTATTTAGGAAAACGAATTTGCGCAGGCCAGCAGCTATGCAGATCTAGCTGTGAACTCTGATAGATACAACCCATCAGCGCTTACTAATAAAGGGAACACAATTTTTGCAAATGGTGATTATGAGAAGGCAGCCGAGTTCTATAAAGAGGCTCTAAGAAATGATTCTTCTTGTACTGAGGCCCTTTATAATATTGGTAAGTGAAACAAAGAAAAATTGATTTTTGTATTATTTGAGCTTTTTTCCAACTCATTCTCAGGCAGGGTTGACTTCTAACAAAAAGTGGGAAGAAGGACTGTTGTGTCTCAGTCTATAGATCACTCTATATGAAATTAATAACTCAAAAGCTGTACACATATAAAGTTTGGGGCAACTGCATATTTTCCTCCAAAAAGGCTTTTCCTATTCCTGTTTCTACAAGTGTGAGAGAATGACTGATTTCCCTAACTCTTGCTGATACTGGATGACATCTTTCTTACCTTTGTCAAACCAATAGGTATGTGTACGGGGAGGTGATCTCATTTTCTTTTTAACTATGAAAAATGTCAAATATACAAAAAGAAACAGCCGGGTGTGGTATCACACGCCTGTAATCCCAGCACTTGGGAGGCTGAGGCAGGAGGATCTTTGTGAGTTCGAGGCCAGCCTGGGCTACAAAGTGAGCTCAAGGCCAGCCTGAACTGCATAGTGAAACCCTGTCTCAAAAGAAAAGATTTAAAAAAAAAAAAAAAGAAACAAAAATACTCACATAAATACCATCCCAGTTTAACACTTTTTTTTTTTTGGTCTTTTTGAGACAGGGTTTTGCTCTGCAGTTCAGGCTGGCCTTGAGCTCACTTTGCAGCCCAGGCTGGCCTCGAACTCACAAAGATTCTCCTGCCTCAGCCTCCCAAGTGCTGAGATTACAGGGATGCACCATCATGCCTGGCTTAATGAGACTAGAGAATTTACCATTTTGCCATATGTACTTCAGATTTTGTTAAGAAACAATACTGCAAGCCATGCAGGCTCGCCACTGCCTCTCTCCCTTCCCTGCCGTTAGAGTCTCCTGAAATGCACCTCACTGCTTCCTGCATGCGCACAGACATGCACACACACACACACACACACACTCACACACACACTCACACACACAGAGCTGGGGCCTTTTGTGGGGCCTTTTCTCTTATCATTATTGAAGTTTCTTTGAAAATTTGCTTCTCCCTGCTTTGGCGTTCTGCTTGTTTCTTTCATGGTCTTTTTCACATTGTGACCTCCTGTCAGTTATCCCATGATCTTAGGCTGTTTCTAGCGTTTAGGAGTCTGAGCCAAACACTGAGGGGACTGAGTCCATGAGCGATGGGCTGGCTCTTGCTCAGGAGACCTGTCCTGTGTGGCCTGTGTGGTTGGGGGCCTTCCCCTCAGCCAATGAGGCCTTTCCTCCCGGAGGAGATGCCAATCTAAAGGAAGGAGGAAGGGAGCCAGGCCGGAGGTACAGTTCTAGCTGGAGTCAGGACAGGTTTCCTGAGCAGGGACGAGCTGTGTTGGAGCAGGTGGAGAGGATGGCATCAGGCATCTGAAGAGCGTTACCGTCCCGGGAAACGGGGGAAAGACCTTCCCGTGTGGGCTTGCTTGCCTGGGTAGATGTTTGTCCACTTCGTAAGTTTCAAGTATTTCCCTACTGTTGTTGTTTTGTTTGCACCAGGAATCGAACTCAGAACCTTGTGCGTGCCAGGCAGGTGCTGTGCTGCTGAGCCATATATCCGGCCTTCCCTACCATTATTGTTCCTTTTGTCTTCTTCCTTCCCTCGCTCCCTCATTTCCTTTCTTCTTCTATTCCTTTCGTTTTTCTTTCATTTACTTCTGCTTTCCTCCCTCCCGCCTTTCCTGGGAGTCGACCCCAAGACTGTGTCTGTGCTAGGCAAGTGCTCCTCCACCGCTGAGCAGCGTCCCCAGCCCTCGCTGTTCTGCTTTTGGCTTTGTTTATAATTTGTTTTTAAAACAAGTTTCTCTCCTGTTAAATTGGCTTTTTAGAAATTGATGACTTTGTTTATTACTTTATGAAGCCCTTCCCTTGCCCAAAGATTATAAAATCATTTTTCTGTATAAATTCAGTATTCCTTATCTGAATGCTTGGGACCATAAAAGTATTTTGGATTTTGGATTTTTTTAAATTTTGAAATATTTGCATATATAATATCTTGGAGATGAGACCAAGTCTAAGCACAAAATTTATTTATATTTCTTATATACAGAGCTTGGAGGTACTCTTATACAATGTTGTAAATGTAGCTGAATTTTGATTGTGGAATTTTCCATTTGTGATGTCATGTTGGAGCTCAGAAAGTTTCAGATTCAGAAGCTTTTTGGATTAGGGATGCTAAACCTGTATTTTCTTTCCGTATTCATACAGCTTTGTATTTTATGTAGTTTTTAAATAATTTTCTTTAGTGAAATAAGAATCTACTTTTTTTCCTTCATGTATAATCGGTTTTGTTGGCACCATTACTACCCGCACTGATTTGAAGTGCCCACTAGCTGACTTGTGTATCTGAATCGATTTCTGAACTACTTTCTCTCTTCCTTTGATCTGTGTGCCTATCACACTGCTCCATAGCATGCTTTTGAAGTCAGTAAAGCAGTCAGATCACCAGAGCTCTGTGATGTTTGGTATCTGCATGGGGAATCCCCACCTCTTACTGTTCTTTTAAAAAATCCCCAATTCATCTTCGTTTTTTGTGCTGGATGAATATTTGCATGTATTTAAAAAGTCATTCTTTTACTCTGGGTGCATTTATGCAAGTAATAATACTTATGGGTGTTTTTTTCTTTTCTTTTCTAAGGCCTTACCTATAAGAAGCTCAGCCGGCTAGAGGAAGCTTTGGAGTGTTTCCTGAAACTTCATGCAATTCTGCGGAACAGTGCCGAAGTGCTTTACCAGATAGCAAATGTGTATCTTATTTTGAAAAAAATTAAGGTGGTTATTAATTCAAAAAGTGGTGATTGGGTATCTGTTATTAAGTGGGTTTAACCATCAAGGTAATTCATGGGGATAATATTTGAAGTAGCCTATGAATGAGATTTAACTAGCAAAGTTAACGTGTGACGAAAATATTATCTGAGTGATTCGGTATTTAAAAGATCATTCACACACTTGTAATCCTAGTACTTTGGTGGCTGAGGCATCACAGGTTCTAGCCCCAGCTGGGCAACTGAGCCATTTAGTGAGACCTTATCTCAAAATGAAAAATTAAAAACAGCTGAGGATGTGCCGCAGGGTGAAGGCCCCAGATTCAATCCCCAGTACCACAAATGTACATGAATGAATGAATGAGCGAATGCATAAATACTGCATTGTAAGAAGTGTTCGTAAAAAATTAAAATTAATTTCTTAATTTGTGAGTTTGAATAATAGTTTAGCTGTCATGTAGATATAATACATACAGCGCTCCAGAGACCCTTACTCTCCAGAATTATACCAAACTTCATATGAACTCATTCATTCCACTCAGCGAGTGTTCGTTCACCGAGTGTGTGCTGTATGTGCTGGTGTTGTGCTGAGAGCTCTGGGGAGCGTGGACCTATAGAGCACCGCTCTCGGGTCAGTTCCTTCCATGACTCCTGCTTTCCTGAGTCGTTTTCCCCCACCCACAGTTAGAAAAGCAGACGTTTATTCATGCCTTTCACGCTGCATAAAAGGTACTTCGGTTTCTCTCATTTTAATAAGGTTTGACCACAGCATTAGGAAGAGTTAAAATCTTAGGTAGCTTTTGAAATTCCTAATCTTGATATAAGTTGCATTTAAATATGTTCAGAAAAAGTATATTGAGATGTACTATTAATAATTTTAACTACTATGTACTATACTTCTGATACATTTTTTAATTTTTTATTTAAAAACAGTTTTAGAGCAGATAGTATCATACATACTCCTTTTAGCCTTTTTATATTGCTTTGTTCAGTTAATTTCTCTGAAACTGTTGCATCATGGTCTGATATTCCCTAATTAGTGATCAGATAATTAATATGCTTGAGACTGTTTGAATCCCCTTTTTAAATTTATTTTTATTGTTTATTTGCAGTACTAGAGATTGCACATGTTAGGCAAGCACTCTACCACTGAGTGCTCGGTTCTTTTTTTTTTCTTGTGGTATCACATTTGTTATTATAAACAGCAGACCAACCTTAGAGTAGTAGCATGTTCCTGTAATCCCAGATTCTCATGAGATTGTAATCAGGAGGATAGTGAATTTGAAGCCAGCCTGGGCAACTTAGACAGCCCTTATCTCAGAAACAAAAACCAGGATAACCTTCCTTTTTAATGAATCTTTGGGTTGGAATATCTTCATTTCTTTGAGACACCAAACATAAAAATAAATAATTGGTAAATAATAACTATTAGTGTGAAGAAATTATTTGAGTATATTTAGAGGTGTTACTAGATATTAAGGAAGCTACAAAGAAAACTCCCTATTCTTGGGCCTATAATCTAGTTAGGGAAAAATCACATGAAAAATACATAAAAATGATTCCTTTGATATGTTCGCATGTGAAGAGTGATGATAGTAAGAAAGAGCAAAATAAAATAATAGCTAGTAGGAAGAAGGGAGATCTTTCTCAAAGGGGAAGGCGATCAAAACATGAAGGAAAGGGGCTGGGGATTTAGCTCAGCGACAAAGCGCCTGCCTGGCAAGCGCAAGGTCGTGAGTTCGGTTCCCGGTACTGGAAAAAAACCAAAAAACCAAAAAAAAAAACATGAAGGAAGGGGTGAGAGATGGAGAAGAGGTCGGGAAGTGTGATGTGCACGCACCGGCTCCACACAGGACTGCGGACACTGTGTACTGCAAGCGTGCACTGATAAACATTTAAAAGGGCGGGAGACTAATTGAGCAAATATCCAGACATATTTTAAGGACAAATCTGGGGCCCTGCTTTTAGTAATTCTGGTAGAAATTTGGGAGTTGATCTCAGTAGAGGGTAATGAAGCAAAAGGAAAAGGCAGATACAGAGAGAGCAACAGGGTTGTGCGCAGTGCCGCTCCGTTTTTCTTCCCTCCTCCTAACGAGACCTGGAGGACACAGTGCAAAGTGACACAGTGCTGTAGGCTAAGAAATATTTTCATAATACTGATTCTACTTTTGTGTGTCAATTAGTGAATTTAGAAAAGCTGTGTTACCCTTAACTGACTATGTCTAAGATATGAGTTAATGGAAGATCCCAATCAGGCTATCGAATGGCTAATGCAGCTGATCAGCGTTGTTCCAACTGATTCTAAAGCTTTGTCTAAACTAGGAGAATTATATGATAGTGAAGGAGACAAATCCCAGGCATTCCAGTACTACTATGAGGTAAGTGTGTGTCTTACTTTTCTTTGGTTTAGAATTTTTTGAATTTTAAGATCAACAGGCCTGTACGATTTTAGAAAAACGTATTCATTTTTAATTAAATAATTTAAAATAAATATTTTTGAACTGTAAAGTTTTTGATTAATTTTTGAAAGGTACAAATTCATTTTTGGCTAAAGTATGATTTGCATCCTTTTTGATTCTTTCGAATATTTAATATGACTCAGGTCTTATAATACTATATCTAAAAGTCATTTATACATAATTGAAAAATGTGTCAAGCAAAGTTTAAGTTTTCCAAATCTTATGGTGGTTCAGACCAGTAATTCTGGCACTTGGGAAACAGAGGCGGGAGGATTATTGTGAGTAAGAAATTTATGACAACTCTTACTTTTTTGTTAAGAAATTTCACATTGGGTAAATAAATCCATTTAATAGTAATGTTTTCAACAGGTATATTAAACATTGCTACTGAAGTTGTATTGTCACATTTTTTCATAATACCTGTACATAATATACTTTGATTTGTCTCTACCAGTCATATAGGTATTTCCCTTCTAATATTGAAGTCATTGAGTGGCTTGGAGCCTATTACATTGACACTCAATTTTGTGAAAAAGCCATTCAGTACTTTGAAAGAGCTTCCCTTATACAGTAAGTAACTAGTAGGATTTTGTATAATTCATGTCTTGTATAGAAATTTTTATGCCTATAAATTTTTATCTGATAGGCCTTGTAAATGCAAGAAAAGATATGAAAATTCATGAGTTATTTTCATTTTCATGTATTTTATTGTTTTTTACTTGGTCTTTATTATGATAAAAATATTTCCTCTTTTCATAAAATTTTTAAAATTCTTCTATAAAGCTGGGCAAGACTTATATATTATTTTAGTGCCCCTGTTTTTAAAAGATCACTTGCAGCTGGACACTGTGGTGCACACCTATAATGCTAGCACTGTGGGAGGTTGAAGGAGGAGCATCACAAGTTTGAGCCCAGCCTGGCTTATCAAGAGCCTGTCTCAAAATAGAAAGGGACCTGGGGGTGTATGTTAATACCCAGTACCACCAAAAAAATCTTCTACAAACTGCCTTTTTTGTGTATTTTTTCTTGTTCACATCTCAGGGAACAAATGTTACTTCTTTATAAATCAGAAAATAACTATCTCCATTCTGGGACTTTTTCATTTCTAAAGGAGTCTTAATTAAAAAAACTTGTGAGCCAGGTGTAGTGGCACACACTTGTAATCCCACTTGGGAGGCTGAGGCAGGAGGATTGTTGCAAGTTCAAGACCAGCCTGGGCTACAAAGTGAGCTCAAGGCCAGCCTGAACTGCAGAGCAACACCCTGTCTCAAAAAGAGGGGGAAAAAAAGAATCATTTGAATGATAAAGGAAGGCTTAATGGTCTAAATGATCTCTGTGTAGAATTTGTACTAGGCAATTTTTATTTGTTTTAAATAAATATTTTGAGAATTATAAAACTACCAAGATTGAGAAGATAGTTTTAATTACATGGTTTTAGTTATATTTGTTACTCTTAAATTGCTCTCACTTTAGCAATTAGCTTGTGTGAATCCACTCTTCTTTTAAGGCTCAGTCTACCACTGTTTATCCTGTTCTTAACTTCTGTTTGGAGATGTCTATGTTGATCTACCAGTTATTTTCTTACCTAATCTAGTTCATGATTTTCCATCCCATCAGTATTCTAGTCTTGTAAACTTTGACCCTCACCTTTGATCTTCACCTCTTCTGCCTTTCAGCCACCTGTATCTTGGCAGGTGCTGACTATCCGTACCATATTTACAGCAGTAAAACCTTACATTCCAGTATCCAGCTATCTGAACATAACCTTCTCTCTTTATAATTCCCATATTCCCTACTTTCCAGTATGCTTTTCTTTGGTGATGTTGAGACCTCCGAAGTCTTGTTTTTAATTTAATTAAGTTTATTGGTGCCGTTTAGGTATATACAGTGATCACATTCATCGTAGGGATTTTGTACCTGTACATAATATACTTTGATTTGTCTTTGTTTTCTTCCCATTCCTTTACCCCCTCTTTAACCCCTCTTCTCCTCCTTACTTAGAAAGCTTTGTTTGCATTTTATCCTCCTTTGCTGGTTTCTTCTTTTCCTTTCATTCCTTTCCCTTCCCCCATTTCCTTTTGAACAGTTTCTTCCCATTTCAACTTATCTCTTGTACAATTTGGTTCTTATTTTATTTGTACTTTCAGTTTCTCACATCAATGAGACATTGCAATATTTACACGTATGTCTGGTTTCTTTTACTTAAAGAGTATGGTCTCAACATTCATCCATTTAGCAATAAATGTCTCAAATTTATCCTTCTTTATGGCAGAGTAGTAATCCATTATTTAAAAAAAAAAAACACATCTTTTTTATCCCAGTTGATGAGCATTTGGAACCAGAAGAAACCCAGAATAGCAAAAGCAATTCTGGGCAACAAATGCAAACCAGGTGGCATCACAACCCATGACTTGAAGTTATACTACAGAGCTGCTATGATAAAAACAGCATGGTATTGGTTAAAAAAAAAAAAAAAGTAGACCAGAGGATCAATGAAACAGTTTTGAAGAGCCAGAATCAACTCCAAACACACTCAGCAACTTTATCTTTGACAAAGGGGCCAAACATGTTCACTGGAAGAAAGATAGGCTCTTTACGAAATGGAAAAACTAATTTTCCAAATGCTGAAAACTAAAACTAGACCCATATCTATCACCATGCACTAAAGTAAAATCAAAATGGGTCAAAGATCTAAATATTAAAACAGAAACACTAAATCTGCTGGAAAAGAGAATAGGTAGAACTTTTGAAGACATAGTTGTGGGTAAAGACTTCATGAACAAAACCCGTATCTCATGGGAAATACTATAAAGAATCAACAATGGGGATCTTATCTTCTTAAAAAGTTTTTGCACAGCAAAATAAACCACCAACAGAGTGAAGAGACAACTCACAATGTCAGAAAAAAATTTTGCCAGCTGTTCCTCAAAAGATTAATATTTTGAATATATAAAGAACTAAAGAAATCAGACCTCCCCCAAATTTAAAGACCCAGTCCAAAAATGGGCACCTGAGATGCATACACATTTCTCTGATGAAGAAATACAAACAACAAATAGCTGTATGAAAAAATTTTGAGCATCACTGATGATTTGAGAGACACAAATTAAAATAATTCTGAGATTCCATCTCAGTCCAGAAGGAAGGGCTATCCTTCTTTCTGAAAAAATAAACCAATAACAAATGTTGCCAGGGCTGTTCAGCATTTGGGGAAAGGAGAACATTCCCCAGTGCTGGTGGAGTGTAGACTGGTGCAACCACTGTGGAATCAGTGTGGAGAGTCCTCAAAGAACTGGGACTAGAGGTCGCATTCAACCCAGCTATTCCCCTTGTTGGTATTTTCACAAAAAATTTAAATAACATACCACAGCAATATATGCTCACACGTTCGTAGTGGCACGGTTTGTAATAGAGACCTCCAATCTCTTACCTTTCTCTTGTGCAATCTCAGCTTCCTCCTGGCTTTAATTCTGAGACTTTCCTTATTAGGCTGTTCAATTGATCATATATGTTTTCGCTAAGGCCCTTGGTTCTTTTTTCTTTCTTACATTGCTACCCCAACTGTCCCCAAAATTTTCAATTACTTGGTTAATCCAGCCATTCATTACATTACTATGAACACCCAATGAAGTACTATCAGAGACAAGTTATGTGACAATTTGTGGCAGTTAGGGTGGAGTTTCAATTTGAATGGCTTTTGGATCTGTTCTGGGGATTGGTGGAGCATACTTCAAGGTGTGTCTGGGTGGTTTGTAGATGGATGGCCTTGAGTCTGTGTCTGGTCACTGGCCCCTTCCTCTCTGGTTCTGTTCCTCTGCCCTACTTCCTGTGCACCGTGAGCTAAGCAGTATTGCTTTGCCATGCCCTTCTGCCATGATGTCTGCCTTGGAGCAAGCCAATAGCAAATTAAACCTCTGCTTTTAGTTGTAGGTATTGGGTATTGTGTATCAGCAAAGAGAAAGCTGGCTAATACAGAAAATTGGTACCAGAGAAGTAGAGTCATTGCTGTGACTGCACCTGACCGTATGCTTCAGAAGCCTTTGGAACTGGCTTGCAAGAGGAGTTTTAAAAAGTTTGGAGATGCAGACTAGAGAAGCCTTAGAATGCTATCAGCAGAGCTAATGGGTGATTGTGTTTAGAGCTCAGAAGATCAGAATGCTGATAGCAATGCAGACCGTTAAGGCCAGACTCAGGAAATTTGAGGTGAGAACAAAGACTCAGTTAGCACTTGGATGAGAGGCAAAAGGCAAACCAGGCGTGGTGTGCATGCCTGTAATCCCAGCACTTGGAAGGCTAAGGCAGGAGGGTTACCACAAATTTGAGAAAAGCTTGGGCTACATAGTGAGTTCAAGGCCAGCCTGAACTGAATAGACTACCCTGTCTCAAAAAAAAAAAAAAAAATGCAGAATAAAACCATTTGAAAATCTACATTTTCAACCATAAGGAACCATGTGTAAAGTTAGGACCAGAGAAAGTATGACTGCTAAAGAGATTATCAGTAAAAGAAACCAAGTACTTTATACAAGGGGCAAGAAGAAAGATGCCTTGAGGACATCTCAGGAATTAGCAAGACCTATATATTGCAGGCTTAATGATGCAAAAGTATAAACCTTTCATTTGAGAAGAGAGTCTCTGGAATCCCTGATTGAGAAGGACCTCCTAGGGAGTTGTTTCCCCATGATTTATTTCATTGTGCCAAGCCATTCAGACATTCAGAGGCCACTACAGTCATAGTCCAAGGGACCCTAGCTGCTGTTTCTGCTGCTGACAGAAGACCTTGACATTGTCCATATGATGCTGGTTTTACCAGCATGCAGAATATAAGAGCTGTGGGATCAGGGAGGCTTCCATCTATATTTCAAAGATTTGGGAGCCAGACACAGAGCCCGATACGAGGTCTGGGAATGAAGCTAGATGTGCAGTGGATACTTTTAGGAAGTTAGTGATGTCGGGAATGTGGAATGTCTGCTGAGGAAATGTCTGCCACAGACCATGAATGGAGTCAGGGTAGGGCTGCCCAAGCCCTTTGGAGCTCTCATTTTACCACCATGTGCCCTGAATGCCAGGTGTGGAGCTTAATGTTAGTCTTACTAGGTTTCAGTCTTGCTTTGGTCTGATTCTTTCCTATTCCCCTATTTTTCTCTTTTGAAATGGGGGTATTTACCCTATGCCATTGTACCTTACAATTATATAACTTGTTTTTATTTTTACAGAGGTTCATAACAGAGTTTGCCTTGAGTCTCAGAATAGACTTGGACTTGGACTTTTGAAAAATGCCAGGACTGCTGAGACTTTGAAGAAGAGATTATTGCACTTCCTGTTGTGTGTGTGTATGTGATAGTTGTAACATATTAAGTGGAATTATGAACTTACTGTTGTCTTTATTTGGAGATTAACTATCATTTCAGTGGATGTGTTTTGGTAGCAGGTTGAAAAGTGGAATGTGGTGGTTAGGGTGGAATTTCAGCATCTTGACAGGCTTTGTGATCCACTCCATGGATTGGTGGAGCACACTTCTGGGTGGGTGTTTGGGGTGTTAGTGGTGTGTCCTCAGAGTCTGTGTCTACTTT